GTATCCCTCGCTGACAGACACCAGGGGTTGTCACCACTTCAGATGACAATTTTCCGGATCTGGCACTTATCTGGCAGAGTGAGTTCGAGTAGGTTGACTTGATTAGTAAGGACTTCTATCGAAAAAGTTAATTATAATTTATTTTTCACGCCAATGTCTATCCACCTACACACTCCTACACTAATGTTTCAAAACATCATTTAATACAATTGATATCAGTTAGAGAACGATTAAAAACCAGCCAGGGAGTACTGGACAGCTGCTGTTTCATCCTAGTTTGGGAATCATCTGCAGTACGCACCCACTGGGATTCGAACCCAGGACCTTCTAGGTACAAGGCAAGTCGTGACCAGTGAGGTCCAATTAGATGTTACGTGTGTGGATGGATGTCCCACCAACGAAAATGGTTAGGGTCGCGCTAAATCACGAATTGGTAGAAGTTAGAATTCATGGACTGGCCATTGAATCGAGTCCCAGTGGCTGAATGGTATACGAGCTAGCTTGCCTTGTAACCGGAAGGTCCTGGGTTCGAACCCTGGCAGTCGGTGCATACTGCCCATGATTCTCAAACTAGGATGAAACAGCAGCTGTCCAGTGCTCCCTGGCTGGTTTTCAAAGGTTCTCTAACTGATGGTATCAATCCGTGATCAACTCGTAAAAACATAACAAACCCTTACAAACCAAACTATAGAAAATGTAATACAATAATTGTAGGTGAAGTAAATTAAAACATTTTCCGAATATTAAATCCTTTCTCATGCTACACATACACACACACACATACAGAAGCGCAATTTAATGTCATGAACACAGGTTACAACTTTCGGTATACTTTCGTTTGCAAGTGGAATAAAGTGAATACATTGATTGGAAACACTAGTCAGTAACACCAGTGTAATATGTGTCTAGTCTAGTCCTCCTCCTATCTTTGATGCAGACTAAAATTCTACCAGTACTCGAGTTTGCAATGTGACCACTATATGCCGCTAAGCGGCTCGCCATCACGATGCACTGTGAATTGTTGATATAAGATGATGGTTGAAGGCAATCTCTACCACAGGAAGCCCCACACCTCTGACCTCAGTTTTGTGCTAGTTTTATTTTTTTTATTTTTGATTACACCTTGTTTTTACACTGTATTTTTGGTAAAGGATGAAATTTTCAGTATGTGAATATCGGTAGCGCAAATTTTGCAGGCCGACCATAAGTTATCAGGTGTATGTCAGCAGGGGGATCGAACCTCGAACCATGTGCATGTGCATGGTTGGCGAGAGTCCTTCCTAACTACTGTGCCACCGACGCAGCCACCAGTCAGTTGTTGTTAGCAAGACGTATCTGCAACTATGTGAGATTCGAACCAGCATCACCTAGCACTGCACTTGCTGACTTGTTCTCTAAGCTGGTCAGTCACCTTATTAGAGTCAATCATTCTACACTCAGCTGAATGAATTCCTACATTCCAATAACCCAACTAACCCCTGTCTACTGAATTCACTTTTGCAATTGATATAACAGTTATTACAAGACATTTTGCCTAATTGGGTTAACACGGTCCTCCTCTAGCCTACATCATAGATTGTCTCTGTGAGTGAGCTTCAAATGTAACCTTAATTTCTGCTTTATTAGGAATCCTAAGTAGGATGCATGTACATGCAATAAGAATGATGCATTACTAATACTGGAGATACGAAGAATATTACTACCAATCCAATTTTGAGAGGGAAAATAATGCAATTATATCAACGAAGTTAGAATATGTTGTGTGAGTGTGCACCTTGATATGATTATAAGCAGCAAATAAATTGTGTTCGGAACGTCATCATCAGTAAATATTACTGTATAACATATTTAGTTTGTTTATTAGATATATTACACAGTGAAGAAACAGTATTATTATACACCGGATGACGTTTCGACCAAAAATTTATTGTTCGTAATCATATCATCAATCATAATCACACTACTTCGAAACTTGAGTTTTATAGTTTTCTTTGTCCTCTCCTATTCGTCGTCATTGGAGGGGGTAATGGAATACACGAATACAGGGGGCTCGTTTCGCATTTGCCAGTTTACGCCAACTCTGGCATAGACGAGATGTTCGACTATCGACCAAAGGGCGGGTGTACTGCTCATCAGTCCGCTCCGTCCTCCGTTATGGCTGACTGTGAGACCTGGCCACTGAGAGTGGAAGACATGAAAAGACTAGCTGTCTTTGATCATAGATGCCTGCGCTCTATTTCCCGTGTAAAGTGGCATCATAAGGTGAGCAATATTGAGCTCGGGCGTCGAGTTCTGGGTAAACAGGGAAATCAATCGACGAAGTCGTGAAGTTACAAAGACTGAGATGGTTAGGACATGTGTTACGTATGCCAAGCCATCGCCTCTCTCGACGAGCAATGTTAGCGGATATAGGGGCAGGCTGGAAAAAAGCTAGCGGCGGTCAAACAAAAACATGGCCAAACCAGTCAATGAAATCTACAACAGTTAGTTTAAGCGACGTAGGAAGATGTAAACTTCCTAACTGGTTGGGGTCCACGGGACGGTAAAAACAAATGGTTGGAAACAATTGGTGACATGGCTCAAAATCGTTCTCAATGGCTGGTGCAGATGCATCCACTCATTGTGATTTATGATTTCCAATGAAACTGTTTTGTTCTTCGTTATTACTCTTCCTTTGTCTCACACCTCTGATTACTGTCTCTATTATGCCTTTCTTGTACTTTCTTCTCTTGCTTCGCGTGCTACACGGAGTGTGGCGACTTGAACTTCCGCACATTTGTGCAAAGTTCTATGTCGAAAACAGACAGACAGACAATGGAATTTTCCAGATATCTGGGTGGACAGGTGTTGAATCATTCCTATTACATGTATTTGCAGTTGATTCGATGAATAGAGCTGAACTTATCAATCTCTCGCTCCACCCTGTGACATTAGATTTTAAAACTGTCATCCTATGTAATTGCATGTAGTGTGTACTATAGCTGAACTATTCTCTAGATTTCTTATCTTACTCGGGTCAGCTCATCTAGATTTTGCTGCTAGGCGTTTATGCTCTGCTAGTCTGACTGCCTCTGTTCTACTATTTTGACCTATATACTCGACCTGACAATCATTCCAGAAGGGTAGTATTAGATAAACTAAATTGTTTTGTTTATTTGGCTTCACAGGATCCGCCATTTAAACGAAAAAGCTTGTTTCTAACTGAGTTTGTCGGTGGTTTGAATGCCAGCCACTTTTATTCCTGCCTTGTTAAGAATTCTGCTTAAGGTGGTTTCCGAGGTTCCTTCCTTGTATGGGATTACTACTGATGATTTACATTCCTTATTGTTGGTGTTGTCTTGCGCACCTTTGACTGGCATGTCGTCATTAATATTATTATGATCACTATTAGTACTATCATTATTTATTTCATTTTTACATTTCCCTACATATTTCCTGACTAATTTATCAGGGTAATTAATTACTATAATTACTGTATAACACTCTGTGAGACTTTATCAAAATAAATTTTCTATATAATGGAATTATACTCTACCACAGTGGTTAAGCATGTGTCAGTACATGCACAAGTCCTAACTTCACGACTAACAAAGAAGCTTCTACACCCTAACAGTATGTATTTTAGAATTTCTAAGAATAGAAAGTCGGAATTCAATCCACATACTATGGTGTGTGCAACAGACAAGGAAGGGTGATGCTCAGGAAGGCTTTGTGTGCTTTTAGAAGTGTGTGGGCGGTTGTTACTTCCCGGCTGCCCACACCGTGGAAGTTGGTTGCGTGACCGCAGAGCCCAGGGGACAACTGCTTGAGGCCGGTCACACGTGGCCAGTTCTTGTTTGGTGTGTCTCAGTAGCATATTTATCACTTCTGCCCTGTGACACCGCAGCAGGAAGCGCGTTCGTTGTTAATCCGGGCCCTGACCGATCTGGCGTGATATTTTGTGAATTTGTTTGAATCATAGTATTGGATTGGGTAGCTGCTTTTTGTTTAACCGCTATTCAAACAACCTTTCTGGCATGGTAGGACCTCAAGTGACATAAGCCTCAGCCAGTGTAGCTTGTTGGGTCATTGCGGTGTTCAAGCCCGACCACCACGTCAAGGTAGTAGCTTTCGGTCGGGGCTACTGAAAAAGTTTATCAGTAGTATATGAAGAGATGTTCATCAGCACAAAAATATCAAATAGCAGAGAGATAGATTTGACGCGTCAAAGAGAGTAAATGAGCCAGTGCATTGCGGCAAAACATGGAAGACGCGAAAAGAAGATAAAGAAACACAATACGAAGGAACACAAGAAGTAGCACAACACGGAGAATGTGTGCAACTGACGATTTTCATATAAGGTGTAGATTATTCCACTATTATATAGAGATATCAAGTTCCAGATTAACATTCCGTTACCAGGGCTCTTGTCTTACATTTGGTGTCGCTGCCACCAGACAATGAAGATCCCATGGCCTGCCACTTTCGAAGAAGGAGACATCAGGAGCATATTGAGGGACTTCAGTGCCGTCACTGAGCTGACGAGCGTCAAGGATCCAACGGCGAGGGCGTTTGTGGTGCTACGGATGCTACCGACAGATCGCCCAAAGGCGGAGTACAACAGTGTGAACATATATATATATAATTCAAATACCAAAGAAACATTCGATTATCAAGTCTCTTGTCTTTTCCCGTGACAAAACTACCCTCAATCGATACACTGCTCTTACAAATGACTAAATAAGCATTTTAAAAAATATCCAACTATTGGTTTTTGTAATGAAGTTTTGTTTGAATCGTTGAAGGATTTCATTATGAGCCGATGTCAGTTAGAGAAGAGCATTGGAAAACCTGCAAGGGGTACTTGACAGCCAGCCAGAGCTATTTCGTCGGCCTAGTTTGGGACTCTTCAGCAATACGCACCTGTACCATCACTAGTACCATCAGCTTACTTTATGTATATATACTAGTTAGCATAAAACAATTGATATTAGAAAGAATTACTGCACATATTAACTTACCGTGCAACATCAATACTCAAGCCAACAATTAACGCTCTAATTCTTATCATTGCTGAAGCTATAATTGCTGTGAAACGTATCTCTGGTATAATACTATTATTTCCATGAATACGACTATTATTATTATTACTACTGCTACTGTTATTATTATTCATACTATTCACAACAACACTGATTGAATCATTTTCATTCAAGGTGTCTTGATATTTAGTAAATGGAATCATCGATCTGCTGCCACCGATACCGCCAATCTTATCATTCTCCTCAACAGCACCAATCAGATTTAAGGCAATCGATGACAAGTTGGATGGTTGAATCAATATTGCATAAACTGGTATCAATCTTTTCGATAGATCCATTAAATAATCAATTAAAGCTTTATCGTCTTGTGTATATGATAATTCTGAGGATTGTTCATAATCTAATTCCATTGGAGGCAGAGAACGCTTTCTATTCATTGGAATGTAGACAACAGAAGGTTCAACGGTGAGTACAGGAGGAGACGACGGAGGTGAGAAAATATTATTGTTATTATTATCATTAGTATTATTATTATTATTATTATTACTGCTCATCATTTGATTTGGATTGTTTAATAATTGTACAAGAGAATTTAATGCATTCACCAATGGGCTGAAATCTAATAGGACTTTGTTCTTTGTGAATGATTTCAATGCGTTCAGTGCACCAGTGTACAATTTTGATACATACAATGCCTCATGTTTTGTTTTCCCTGAGAAAAGATATGTCATCTGAAATTTAAACAAAAACATCATGCTAAAAGGCATTTATTTATCTTAAAAGTACAGTAGATCGGGTGTGATGACAAATACTCGCGCCAGAGATGATGATGTACTTTGCGCTGTCTAAGTGCAAAGTACTGTTACAAGATTGGCAGGAGCCTGTACCTGCACTCACTCTTGTGGGTGAATCGCTTGAAGTTGTTGATAAGTTTGTGTATCTGGGTAGTTGTGTGAGTTCTGGCGAGGAGGGGTGACAGATGAGATTTCCAACCGTATAATGAAAAGTAGAGTGGCAAACATCAACTTGAGCCACCTCTGGCACCGTCGCGACATTAGCCTGGTTGTCAAAGGTCGGGTATACAATGCTTCGGTGCGAGCTATCTTACCCTACGCCTGTGAAACCTGGCCTCTCCGAGCTGAGGATGTGCGGCGACTCTACGTGTTCGATCATCGCTGTCTCCGCAGGACTGCTTGCGTTCGCGTGAGTAATTCTGAGGTTCGGCAGCGTGTGTTTGAATACAGTGGAGATCACCATTCATTGAGTGTCGGCATCTGGAAACACCGGCTCCGGTGACTTGGATATGTGCTGCAAATGTCATCCCAGAGGCTTCGTACAGATCTCTGTCTGCTAGCCGGCCGTGGGATGGGATGGAAAAGGCGGAGAGGTGGTCAGTCCATGACATGGCGTCGTGGGATGAAGGATATTTATGCTCGGTTAGCATCAGTTGGTGCGTCACGACTCCCTGGTTGGGGTCCGAGAGATAGCTCAAATCGATGGCTCAAAACGTTATCAGATATTGCCAAAAATCGTAATCAATGGCGAACGTGTTGCAATTTCCTTCTCTCTCCTCCCCCCTCCCGATGATAGTTGACGAATACTGTTTGAATTTGTTAAGCATGACTGTTTTCTTCCCCAGATGAAGTTCTTTATCTGTTCTCTACTTATATTTTTTTCTTTACTTTTCACCAACAAGAAACTATGGGAAGAAACAAACAAAACAAGAACCAATCGCCAGTCAACAAATATGCAGGAGAAAGTGGAGATGGATCAGACACTCGCTGAGGAGACCGCTGGGTGACATCGCGCGCGCGTCAGGTCATCGCTCGAGTGGAACCCGAAAGGGAAGCGGTGAGTGGGACGTCAGTGCAAGGGTGACATGGAGGAAATCGTGTGAAGAGGAGTTGAAACAGTATGGACTAACATGGACGCAGGTGAAAAGCACAGAAGAAGACAGAAGCAAGTGGAGACGTGCAGTTGAAGCCTTATGTTCCACTAAGAACCCAAGGGAGCAATAATAATAATTAAATAAATAAATAATATCATGAATTGACCATTGGATCGGCGGGTCGCAGTGGTTGAATGGTCTACGAGCTAGCGCTCATCTTGTAACCAGAAAGTCCTGGGGTTCGAAGCCTAGCAGTCGGGTGGGTAGGTACTGATGAAGATTTCCAAACTAGGCTGACGAAACAGCTGACTGGCTGTCCAGTACTCCCAGCTGGTCTTCCGATGGTCCTCTAACCAATGTGTCAGTTCATGATGAAATCCTGAAATCAGCGAACTGCTGAACAGTACACACATTCACTGGTCGACAGCTAGCCGGTTAGTCAGTCAGATATCACGTTTACTAGGCCAGAGATGGAGTAGGTTAGTTGGCAAATGCCAAAATGGCCTTCTGGACTCGTGTTAAGATTTGGTCAGCGATCAAATCAACTTGCTGATGAGTTTGATGCAACTTCCTGAATAAGTGAAGTGGTCAACACACTCCACCATCCACTTCACTCCGACCTCCCTATCTTTAAGCTAGGAGTAAGTCGATGTATTCCAGTGCGGTCCTGAAGCCTCATCATCTTACATTTGACAGGAGCGAATCGCATGCCAAACATTCGAAAATTGTTCATGAGATCGCCACTACGGGGTCCCGACAAGAATTATACATCTCATCCAACAGTTGTACGACAACGCTGCATACCAAGTAATCCACAATGGGAAACTCACGGAATCCTTCGACGTGAAACGGAAGTAAGACAAGGCTGGCTGGCTGCCTACTAACTCCAATGATTTTCCTGATTGTGGTAGACTGGATAATGTGACAGACAGCGGGTAGTGAGGAAACAGGCATAAAACGGACCCACACAAAAACCTTGGATAATCTGAACTTCGCCGATGATGACATATGTCTGAGTTCCTATAAACTGGAAGATATGCAAGTGAAAAGCAACAAGTCGGCAGAAGAAGCATCAAAGATAAGACTTCAGATAAACATAGAGAAAAGAGAAGCGATGAAGATTCCTGGCCAACAGCGACAGTAGCAACAACAGACAACTATCAACCAGCATAAATGGGAGAAATCTGAAAGAAACAACCTCCTTTACCTAACCACTTACCTGGAAAGCATCGTTTCAACTAGAGGAGGACGGAACTGATGAGGATACCAAAGCAGCGAGAATTGGGAAATCAAGACAAGCTTTTATTACTCTCAAGTCTGTGTGGAGGTCAACACTCAGCACTTAGCATGAAAATGAAATTAAGATCAGGATTTTCAACTCCAATGTGAAGTCAGTCAATGCTACTTAACATACGGATCAGAGACTTGGCGCCGTGTCACGAAGGGCACCTCAAACAAACTGCAGACATTCATCAACAGGTAGCTGTCTTCGCTCAATACCACTTAAGATCAGATGGCTGGCCAGAAAAGATCAGCAACAGGGATGGATCTCTAGCAATGAGCGAACTAACCCAGCGGGAACCGATTGTGCAACAAATATGCAGGAATAAATGGAGGTGGATTGGATTAGCTATACTTTGAGAAAACAAACCATCGAGTGAAATCACACGCCAGACTCTCTCTCTCTCTCTCGGGTGGAACCCGAACGGGGAGCGGCGGTTGAAGCCCTATATTCCTCTAGGAATTAAAGGAAACAGTAATAATGATAATAATAATAATAATAATAATAATTCATTTGGAAGAGTGATAACCCAAAAATGAATGTAGGCAATTAAACTCACCTTAAGTGAATTACGAACTAGTTTACTTAACAATTGAATAATCCGTCTATGCATTGCAGTATTTGTATTCTCCTTGGAGTTATTCAGCTGGTAATTATTATTAACACGCGTATTATTATTATTATTATTCACCAATTGAATACCACGAGTTGACTGGGTCCGTGATGAATTGAAATGAATCAAGACAATTGTTGACACTAAATACCATCCAGTTGTTGAAAGTAATTTTAACCAATACAGTAGATTATTCAACCTCTCAATATGATCCAACTTTTTAGCACAATTCCAAAGATCATTGAATACAAGACGATAGAGTAGGGAATTACGACGTGATTGATATTCATAAGAAGGGATTCTGGTATTGATTTTTTTTTTATAAATAAAGAAGATAAATAATCAATACAAAATATCATCCAATTGCACTCAAAACACACACACACACACTATAACTTAAAAGTTAAAGAACACAAGTATCTTAAAAACTGTGATAAAGGGACCTTTCAACGATTAGCCTGATTGAGAGCTGGATTTACTGCGGTTGCTGGCATCAAACTTGCACTCCAGATGGTTTTCGTCAAAAGGATTTAAAACTGTATTCAATCGAATTATGGTGCTTCAATCGAGTCACGTATACGTATTTTTTTTGTTACTGGTCCCACAAACTTATAAATAGGGACAACACCGACTCCTAGATTAGAAATAGGAAGTGAAGTGGTAGAGCACGTTGACCGCCTCACTTATTTGGGAAGTACCATCAGCCAGTACCAACAGGTTGATCTCTGACGAAATCTCAGAACGGATACAGAGGGCTAGTTTCACATATGCCAGTTTACGCCGTCTCTGGCGTAGACGAGATGTTCGACTATCGACCAAAGGGCGGGTGTACTGCCCATCAGTCCGCTCCGTCCTCCTTTATGGCTGTGAGCGAGACCTGGCCATTGAGAGTGGAAGACATGAAAAGATTAGCTGTCTTTGATCATAGGTGCCTGTGTTCGATCTCCCGTGTGAAGTGGTATAATAAGGTGAGCAATATTGAGGTCGGGCGTCGAGTTCTAGGTAAGCAGGGGAAATCAGTCGACGAGGTTGTGAAGTTACACCGATTGAGATGGTTGGGACATGTGTTACGTATGTCTAGTCATCGCCCTCCTCGACAACGGGCAATGTTAGCTGATATAGGGTCAGGCTGGAAAAGAGCTAGCGGCGGTCAAACAGAAACTTGGAACCAGTCAATGAAATCTACAACAGTTAGTCTAAGCCACGTAGAAAGGTGTAAACTTCCTAACTGGTTGGGTTCCTCGGGACGGTAAAAAAAACCAATCATTGGAAACAATTGGTGACATGGCTCAAAATCGTTCTCAATGACAGCACAGATGCATTCACTCATTGTGATTTATGATTTCCAATGAAACTGTTTTGTTCTTCGTTATTACTCTTCCTTTGTCTCACACCTCTGATTACTGTCTCTATTATGCTTTTCTTGTACTTTCTTCTCTTGCATTGTGTGCTACAAGGAGGGAGTGTGTCGACTTGAGCTGGTGCACATATGTGCAAAGTTCTATGTCGGAAACAGACAGATACAAATAGGGAGTGAAAAAGTGGAGCACGTTGACTGCTTCACATATTTGGGAAGTTGAATCAAACAGTCAGTGCCAACGGGTTGATCACTGACGAAATCTCAGCACCGATACAGAGGGCTAGTTTCGCATACGCGAGTTCACGCCGTCTCTGGCGTAGACGTGATATCTGGCTGACTGGCTGTCGACCAAAGGGCGAGTGTACTGCTCAGCAGTCCGCTCCGTCCTCCTTTATGGCTAGCTATGAGACCTTGGCATTGCGAGTGGAAGATATGCAAAGTCTTGCTAGCTATCTTTGATCATAGGTGTCTGTGTCCTAACTCCTGTGAGAAGTGGTATAATAGGGTGAGCAATATTGAGGTTAGGCATCGGTCGAGTGCCAGCTAGGTAAGTTGGAGGGGAAATCAATCGACGAGGTGGCTGTGAAGCTACATCGACTGAGATGGTCAGGACATGTGATGCTGAGCATGCCTAGCCTGGCTATCGCCTTCCTCAACAAGCAACGTTAGCTGACATAGGATCAGGTCGGAGAAGAATGGGCAAGTGGCGGTCAAACCAAAACATGGCTTCATCAGACAATGAAATCCACATCAATTAGTTTAAGCCAGCCAGCCACGTAGGAAGGTGTAAACTTTCTGACTAGTTGGGGTCCTCGGGACGGCAAACACCAATGAAGGCTGAAGACAATTGGTGATATAGCTCAAAATCTTCGTTGTCAATGGCTGGCGCAGACGAATTTTACTCCTTGGGACCTATAATACCCAATGAAATTATATTGTTCTTCGATATTACTATTCCTTTTGTTTCATATCCCCGTTTACTGTCTCTATTCTGCATTTCTTCTACTTTCTTCTCCTACTTTGTGTGCTACATGGAGTGTGACGACTTGAACTGCTACACATCTGTGCTGTGCAAAGTTCTATGTTGAAAACAGACAGACAGACTTCCCCGTGACGGGAGTGGGTAATTTTCACGCTCAGGTACCCTCTCCGAAATCGAACCCTGATTCCCCGTTACGCGTTATTATCATGATAGGTAGATCGCCTACTAACGAATTGTGATAGGGAAGACATTTGAAAGATCCGTCGCTGACACAAAGCCAACTACAATCATTAAAGTTAGCCAGAGTCATCACAGAATACAATACAGACATCCGACACTGCCTCACTTCCTCACCCCCACGTGTGCAAATACGATTCACTGTGTGTCGGTGGCACAGTGGTTAGGACTCTCGCCGACCATGCACATGGTCCCGGGTTCGAGCCCTCGCCGACGCACACCTGATATCTATGGTCGGCCTGCGAATTTTGGGCTACCGATATCCACGCTGAAAATTCCATACTTGTACCAAAAATACGGTGTGGAATCAAGCTGTGATCAAAAATAAAAATTAAAAAAATAATAAATATATGGCTTAACTTTCTAAGAGATGGTCACAAGCGGTACAGAATAACCTTTCGCAAGAAAACAACCAATTAGAAGCCGTTGCTTCTCTACTAATAATAACGCTAATAATAATGTACATAAAAATCTATAAATATCTATTGATTTTCTCAATAAACGATCTGTTTCGTGGCCCTTGTCTTCTGTTGTTACAGTAGTAGTCCAAAGAAGAAGTTATAGATAAAAAAAAACAAATAAAAAACTGTTCGCTCAAAACACCATCTTGTTCTGATGATTACGCCAATATACGACGGAGAAGGGGGGAATTGTTAATTTACTGAAAATAACGCATTAAATAGATCATTTACCTTCTATGGAAACTTTTGCCGTTTTCTTCAAGTTTAGTTTGATGCGGAGCTGTTGGAAGACAATAATGATGTAATTCATCATGAATAGTTGAAAGAGTCTTTTGAATACGACAGACAATAGACGCAACAAGTTTATATAACGTATAATGTCCTGATCCAGGCATATTTGACACACAATCGTTATCCAGACATAATTTCTATATTGAAGAATTTGAATAAAATATTTTTATTAAAAAACAGCAGAGGAAGGAACGGTTCAATCATAACATATTCTTCATCACAATTACTGAGAGCAGTTACAGTTTATTGAAGAACTCCAATGAAATTAAAACCTGAACCGGTCGCTTGCCACTCACATTCGGCGCATATGTAGCCCTGATACTGTGGAAGATATACAGTCAAATCCTATAAAACGTGACTTATCATCCGAACCCAAGAAGATACTCCACATGAGCTTGGAATTCAAGGATGACTTAGCTTCCGATATCATGAAACGAAGGATATCACAGTCCCTGAAAAGAACATTCCCTGCTGCATCTCTGAGAATAGCCTTTACTAGTCGACCATTACTACTATTCAATAACCTGAAGGACAAGATCCCCCCTCAGTTGACCAACTCTATGTGTGTTTATCAATTCACCTGCTCGTGTGGAGCTAGATATATCGGTCGTTCGACTCGAGTTTTGTCCAAGACGGTGGAAGAACACTATTCTGCATGGTTATGAAGAGGTGGTAGTGGAGCAATAAGAAGCGCGATCATTTGATTTATTTTTTTTTATTTTTGATTACAGCTTGATTCCACACCGTATTTTTGGTACAAGTATGGAATTTTCAGCATGGATATCGGTAGCCCAAATTTCACAGGCCGACCATAGATATCACGTGTGCATCGGCGTGGGCTCGACCCCGGACCATGTGCATGGTCGGCGAGAGTCCTAACCACTGTGCCACCACTGCGCACCGACGATCGAACATCTGATCGATAATGATCACCCTATCTATATAGCCTCCGCCTTTAAAGTCATCTACAAGGCAAAGAGTAATGTACCCAAATCACTACGTACCCGACTCATATGTATTGCTGAACCGTCTTTCGCTATCGAAACAGAAAAGCCAGATCTCTGTGTACAGAATAAAGAGTTCGTTTAACTCCCCAACTTTCATGGTCTTAATCCTTCTATGCTAAAGTATGGTAATCCCCAATCATATTTTAGCTCTACCAATTTTTCACTTTTCATTTTGTCTATTCAATTTGTAGTCTCTTCCTTATTTCGTCAATTGTTACTATTACTACTTTCCCTTTGAACTGCCCCGGTACTATTTCACTTGTTCCACTTGTCATTCTAAATCATTTCTTTTTTACGATGTTAAATTCTATGCTATTAAATTTCACACAATATTACATAACGTTTTTATTTTATTCGATTTGTCTACTAATCTTATAATTGCACACCCTTTTTCAAGTTCTATCCATCCTATGAATTCTTCTATATATGACATTAATTTGCTTTGCCACTTGACATTTAACTATGATTATAATGACAAACATTTTAGTTTTTAATTGCATTTCATACTACTATTATTATTATTATTATTTTATGCATTTACACCTAAGATTCAATTCCCTCACCGGATATAACTTCTTAAAAACCATATATGTATGTACGATTGTACAGCTTGATGATAAATTCGTTGTTGAAAAGAGTCTCTTCTCTGAATCCCCATTTGTTTTGATTTTCTGAAACATATTAGGCTTATTGCACCAGTCTATTTTAATTCAATGCACCTGCCAAATATCTAGATCGCTGAGATCCTGGACCTACCGCTGATTTCAGAAAATTAAGCTTAATACGTAGTGCATTATGCACTGCACGCAGAACACCAGAAAATAGTTGAGCAGCAACATTGTGTATTCTTCAGTCGATAACGAAACAGATTTACAGTGGTTAATCAATGCTAAATTCTGTTAACAAACGTTAATATTATAATATACAAGAATAGCTCTGATCGTATTTCTCCAATCTTCTGTCAATCAGTACACGATGTAGCAATGAGTCTTCTTGTCACCCACCAAAAGGAGACCAGTTCGAATAAACTATCCAATGTTCCGCAACATTGACAGCACCTCTATATATAAGGACTTATCAGCGACTAACTAACTGCTGTGAACGGATCGATGACCTTGAGCGATCAATCATATGAATCCATTGTTTACAGGCGCAACTACCGATGCTGTACGGCAACATGTGAAGTGATCCACAACGGAAAACTCACTCGGCGAGGCGTTTGGAGTAAACACAGGAGTCAGACAAGGCTGCTTATTATCACCAATGAATGATATTCCTAATTGCGGTGGAATGGATTATGTGTCAGACAGTGAGTGGGAAACGAGAAGACAGGGATATCCTCGACCGACCGACCGACGTGAAGAACCTAGAAGACCTGGATTTCGCGAGTGGATGATTTATGTTTGATGTCACACAAAATCGAAGACTTACAAGCGAAAACCAACAAACTGGTCGAAGAAGCAGCCGGCGAAGACAGGACTCCAGGTGAACATAGACAAGACGGAGGTTATGAAAATAACCAACTAACAACAACAACAGCAACATCCAGCGTCAATCACTATCAACGGGAGGGGATCTAGGGAGCATTGTCTCAACTACAGCCAGTCGGAACGGACGAGGATGTCAAATCGAGCAAGAATCGGGAAGGCGAGAAACACACTCATCAACCTGAAACCAATCTGGAAATCAGCACCACGTCACTCAACTCAGCATCAACAACAAAATTCAGTAGGATTTTCAATACAAATAACGTCAAGTCAGTCAGTTCTCCTATACGGATCAGAAACTTGTCAGGCGGGTGGGTCACAAAGAATATTTCCAACAGCCTGTTGCAGACCTTTATCAACCATCAACTGTCTTCGCTGGCTCTATACTGAAGATCAGGTGGCCAGGCCGGAAAGAATCACTACCAACAGGAAACTATGGGAAGAAACAAACAAAACAAGAACCAATCGCCAGTCAACAAATATGCAGGAGAAAGTGGAGATGGATTGAACACTCGCTGAGGAGACCGCTGGGTGACATCGCGCGCGCGTCAAGTCATCGCTCGAGTGGAACCAGGCCGAAAGGGAAGTGATGAGTGGGACGTCAGTGCAAGGGTGACATGGAGGAGATCGTGTGAAGAGGAGTTGAAACAGTATGGACTAACATGGACGCAGGTGAAAAGCACAGAAGAAGACAGAAGCAAGTGGAGACGTGCAGTTGAAGCCTTATGTTCCACTAAGAACCCAAGGGAACAATAATAATAATCGATGGTGTACACCAATTGCGTAGTCGATCCTCATCCAGATCTAGTGTTGTTTAAGTGCTGTTTGGATAACAGGCTCATCATCATCATAGGAAGGGAGAAAATGTGTACTCGTGGTGGTGTGATGCATTCGCAAAGATACACTGTCTGCATTGATGATGACTTTGTCTACAGGTACGAAGACTATGGAAACAGGAAATCAGTTCGAGAAGGTATGCTGGTATTTTTTTTAGTTTATCGATGCTGTAGGTACTTACCTCGATAAGTCGAAGTTGCCTTTAACGAAAATTATGATGATAATATGTCACAAGTGGGTCCTGGAAAGCCCAGTTATAACGACAGCATTCGAAACAGAGAGAGTACCAAAATAAATGAATTTAATATTCCAGTTAGGGTGACAATTCGGTTTGAATGAGTGTATACACCAACACAACCGATTCCCAGATATACATCATCTAGAATCCCAACCGATACCTGCTAAGCTTGATGTGTTGGTCGCGTCCGCATAACGCAATATTGACCCAACAAGTTACACTGGTTGGAACTGATGTCCCTGCACGTTCTACCATGTTAGAAAGGCTATTAGGATAGCGATTAGACTAAAAGCAGTTACTGGCATAGTGTAAGATGTTTCACTATGTTAGGGGTCTGTGGGCAAAGTCGTACTGCTAGGAAACAAGTTTATGACAGCAGTAAGGTGTTTCACTTCGACAAACAACAAGCCAGCCATGCTACCACACCTCTACCCTGCGGAGAGGGGGAAAGCTATAAAAGGTTGATCCTGGAAATGATACATCCCGACTTACCCTATAGTGGTCCATTGACACAGGCTAGTTACTAATATGGACACAATTGTAAAAACTGATTCAAACAGGCTGTATATATGACTGGCCTCAAAGAGTTGTCCCCTGAGCCCTGCAGTCATACGCAACACTAATTCTCTTTCTGTTTCAGCCACCGCAAGAAAAAATCAAGTTCTACAGAGTGGGATGCACTTTCAAAAGCACAGGAAGCCCTTCTAATCATCATCCTCCTTTATCCCTGTCGACCGGCGGTAAGTTTACTAATACGGAACCAATCCCAGAAACCAATTCATATAGGCCGTGTGTGACCGGCCTCAAGCAGCTGTCCCCTGGGCTCTGCGGTCACGCAACACTTTTTGTTTCAGGTACCCGAAGAATCAATCAACTTCCACGGTGTGGGCAGCTGGGAAGTAACAGCCGCCAACACACTTCCAAAAGCAAACGAAGCCTTCCTGAGCATCATTCTCCTACACTCACATCACCTTCCTTATCTTGCTTTCCTACTACAGTTAGTAGTCTTCTGTAGGCTAGTGAGTCATCTTCACTTCACTCTGTGACCACAAACAACGGTGAGGGCCATAGAAACACGCCAGATAGCCTTTTAAAGCCACATCGCCAACTTCATATAGAAGCATTTAACGTCAGGACCCTCTGCCAAATCGGACAACAGGCATCACTAGCTAGAAATCTGGTGTCTCAAGCCACGGATGTATGTTGTGTTTCGTAGGCACACATACAAGACCCGAGTGTGGTCATTCATTTAACCTCATCCAGTCAACAAGGTGAATATGCGAAATTCACCTTCAGGGTGTCAGGAGACTCCTCAGATAGTTCACGAAGACTCGCAGGTGTAGGGATAGCATTGAGCGTTAGGGCAGAAAAATCACTTCTTGACTGGATCCCAGTAAATAGTCACATGTGTGCAGTCCGTCTGAACAGATCCATTAGAATAAAGAAAAACTGCATTACTCGTTAATATATTTTCCTAGTCTCCGCTCACGCCCCAACCGACTGCAGTTCGGATGTACTAAAGGATGCTTTCTACCAGAAACTCTCTAGTTTGCTGCAAAAAGCAAAACGCTCAGATATAGTCGTTTTAGCAAGGCAACTTCAATACCCAAGTAGTCTGTCTGTCTATCTGGATTCAACATAGAACTTGGCACCGAAGTGCACCAGTTCGAGTTGCCACGTTCCAAATAGCACACAGAGGTAGACAAGAAGATGAGTGAAGAGAATCAATAGAGTTTGACAAGTATAAGAGTGAAACAGAATGGGTAATGGTAGAAGGGAATATGAAAGATTACAGAGACTGAATACATCTGCGCTGGTCATTGACAACTATTTTGAACCATGTCACCTATTGTCTCCAGCCATTGATTCCTAGAGTCAGTCCCGAGGGCCCCAACCCGGGAGTCCGCATCTCCCTACCTGACCGACTCAGTCTAACTGCCAAGGATTTCATGGATTGATGAGGCCATGTTTTTGTTTGGCCACCACTGGCTCTTTTCCAACCTGCACCTATATCAGCTAGCAATGCCCGTCGGGGGAGGCGGTGGTTAGGCATGCGCAGCACGTCACCTAGCCATCTCAATTTATGTAACTTTATAGCCTCGTCGATTGATTTTCCCTCTTCGCCCAACACTCTACGCCTAACGTCAACATTACTTACCTTATTAAACCACCTAACGTGAGACAGAGATCGCAGACATCTATGATCGAAAGCAGTCAACCTTTTCATGTCTTCAACGCGTATTGGCCATGTTTCAGAGCCATAGAGAAGGACGGAACGAACTGCTGAGCAGTACACACGTCCCTTGGTTGATAACCGGATGTCACGCCTACGCCAGAGATGGTATAAGTCAGCGAAAGTAGGGAAGTTATGCCAAACTGAAAAATATACTGCTGGTACTGTAACCTACGGAGTTCCCTGCCAATGAACCGAAATCGGTGATCGTCCTCTGCAATTCTGTTCAGATAAATACTAACTCGAGACAGGCAAGGTGAATAGGCAAACAAAATAGAAACACTATTCATCAAACATTTCCAGTGCTCTCTGATAAAGATGTATAAAAGTTAAATTATGAAGATGAAAACTAACGAATGAACTCACTTTATTTGGTATAACTGTAGGTGAATAATCTTGAAATCCATCATCTACAGGCGTTTTCGGTAGTAGAGACGGCAGGAGTTCTTGTAAGTAGATCTACAAAGGTAGTGTTTTTTGAAAAGTCATATAGAAATCATATAAACCAAGACACCATTCAATGCTGTAGAGTTAGAGATGAGCTCATGATTAGCCTTCTCTAGGACTATGAGGAATAAACGGACTGACCAGTAGTCAGTAGCAATACCAAAGTCTACACACGCTATATTGGTCATTACCTAGTAACCAGTCATATAACACAATTCCATAAAACAACAATCTTTTGCATCGACCGCGAGTAATTATACACCTAAATTTGCGAACATTCAGTCCCCTCCGTCCTCCTTTATGACTAGCAGTGAGACATTGCCATTGAGAATGGAGGGCATGAAAAGGCTGGCTAGCTGTCTTTGATCATAGGTGCCTGCGTTCTATCTCCCATGTTAGGTGGTGGTATAACAGGGTGAGCAATATTGAGGTGAAGCGTTAGTCGAGTGCTAGGTAAGGAGGGGGAATCAAAAGACGAGGCTGTAACGTTATATCGATTGAGTTAGTTAGGACATGTGTTACTCATGCATGCCTAGCCATCGCCTTCCTTGAAGACGAGCAATGTTAGCTGACATAGGGTCAGTGGTGGTCAAACCAAAATATGGTTTCATCAGACAATGAAATCCACAACAATTAGTTTAAGCCAGCCAGCCACATAGGAAGGTGTAGACTTTCTGACTAGTTGGGGTCCTCGGGATGGTAAAAACCCAGTGAAGGCTGAAGACAATTGGTGATATAGCTCAAAATCTTCGTTGTCAATGGCTGGTGCAGACGAATTCATTCCTTGGGACCTATAATATACCCAATGAAATTATATTGTTCTTCGATATTACTAATCTTTTTGCCTCACATCTCTGTTCACTGTCTCTATTTTGCCTTTCTTCTTACTTTCTTCTCTGACTTTGTGTCCCACATGGAGTGTAGTGACTCGAACTGCTGCACATCTGTGCTGTGCGAAGTTCTAGGTTGAAACCAGACAGGCAGACATACCCTATGTACCAGGACTGGAAACATAAAAATAAAGCAAAAGCAAATTACCTTTGTAGAGGCTACATGTCTAGGGAATTTAGCTTGCATCCCAGGAACATTTGGTTCAGCATTTAATACAAGCAGTAAAACTGTCAGATAGGCTGGATCTTCTTTCACTGGTTCAGGACCACTCAACCAAGAATGTGTTCGAAGTAAACTTGATAAACACGTTTCAACAAATACAGGATGATTTCTGCCAACTGATGCAGCACATCTGTAAAAAAAGTGTATAAGAATAGAATAGTAAGACAAGGAATAAATAATACTAGAGTCATAGTTTAACAGGTTTATCTTATTGGCATGGGATTATGAGTGAAGTTAAAACGCAAGCCTAGGTAGGACAGTATTCAAAATGGAGGCATCAGGGACTATAATGAAAGCGCACAACTTCACATGACTGGCTGACTGACTGACTGACTTATTTCAACTTAGGACTTAGCACAGATGTTCACAAGTTCCAGTTACCACTCTCCACTCACCATACAAAGCGATCGAAGAGAGTGAAGAGAGGTGCATCAAAAAGGAGATAATAAACAGAAGTGTGACGGGAAAAGAATAGTTCTATGGAAGAACAATAGAATTTTATTGGGTATGCGTGACAAGCGACAAAGTGGGAATGAATAAGAGCCATTATCGAGAAAGATTGTCAGCCATATCACCAGTTACCTCCAGCCGTCATTGTTTCTTACTATCCTGAGGACCCCGAGCAGCCAGTTAGGCAGTCTACACCTGCCCATGTGGCTGACTGCCTCAAACTAACTCTTATGGATTTCATTGACTAGTGAAGTTATGCTTTCATTTGACCACCACTAACTCTCCTTCAACCTGATCAATCCTATTTCAGTCAGCTAACATTGCCCGTTGTCAAGGAAGGTAGGAGATGGGTAGGCTAGACGTGAGTAACACATGCCCTAACCATCTCTCAATCCATGCAACTACATAACCTCGTCGATCGATTTTTCATCCTCCTCACCCCATTATACCACCACCTGCCACCTAACACACATGGGAAACAGAAGGCAGGCTTTTCACTTTTTCCACTCTTAATAGCTGTTATGCCTCACTCACAACCAGGCAGCCAGCCATAAAGGAGGATGGAGTGAAAACACTGCTACTGTTGAGCAGTACACAAGTCGTTTGGTCGACGTCCACTAAAACAGAGATGGAGTAGGTTGGTTGGTAAATACCAAAACGATCCTTCCGTATTCGTGGTGAGATTTCGTCAGCGATCAGCCCGTTGGCGCTGGCTGATGCAACTTCTCAAATATGTGAAGTGGTCAACACGCTCTACCAACCACTTTACTCCCTATCTTTAAGCTAACAGTGAGTAGATGTAGTCCACTCCAATCCTGCAGCCTCATAGCTGACCGGAGCGAATGAGATACCAAACATTCGAAGATCACTGCTCCTCAAGGTATTCAGAAGACTCTACACTTTGTCAGCGTCTTCACCTAACAATTTCACGTGAACTCAAATTACAGAAATTAAACTATAACAACTAACCACCATCAATCTTACCACTGACCTTTACTAAATTATCAGAAGAGAAGCAGCAATTAAAGTCGAAAAAATTGTTAGCAGTATGACGACAGATTCTGGTATCTCCTGAGATCCGGATCTCGGAGAGCCCATCTCCGTCAAGGAATTGTGAATATATTCAAATTCCTTTTGCAAGAAGTCATCCGTACATATCTTTCTTGCTCTGCTCGCGAGACATTTTACAACATTCCTTTTCTATTTAATGGGCATGTAACTAAGGAAGTGTGTGTATTGCCTTGTGAATGTGCTTTTTCTATACACGCTCCTCCCAAGTGACCCATCTTCTCTCCTACTTAACAAGATACCCAGGAAATGTAGTTTATTCACCTGCTCCTCTTCAGAATTAAAGGTAAACGAAGGGTGGATGTTGTTGAATTTCAGCAACAATTCGTCTATGTTAACATTCCCATCAGCTAAGATAGATGATGTATCATCGACATATCGGTAATACATATCAAATTCCTTGATGATGTCCTTCAACTTCTTGTTTTCAAGTTTTGCTCAAAGGAATAAGTCAGCTAATATTGGGCCTAATGGTGAACCACTCATAGCTATTCCATCTATATGTTGGTAGTATGAAGTATTGAAGACAAAGTGAACATTCATTGTGCATTTAAGAGGTAATTCTTTAAGGCTACACAAGGGGATTCCTAAGTCCAATTGCCTTTCGGCGATTTTTTGACAAATATAATCTACTGTTTCCACAAGCGGTACATTAGTGAATAGTGATGATATAAGTAGACAAGTAGATGGACAGCTGTTTCATCCTAGTTTGGGAATCATCGGCAGTACGCACCCACTGCCAGGGTTAGAACCCAGGACCTTCTGGTTACAAGGCAAGCTAGCTCGTATACCATTCAGCCACTGGGACTCGATTCAATGACCCATGAATTCTAACTTTTACCAATTCGTGATTTGATATGTATTGCCGATATGTCGATGATACATCATCTATCTTAGCTGATGGGGATGTTAAAATAGATGAATTGTTGCTGAAACTCAACAACGTCCACCCTTCGCTTACCTTTACTTGTGAAGAGGAGCAAGAGAATAAACTACATTTTCTGGATATCTTGCTAAGTAGGAGAGAAGATGGGTCACTTGGGAGAAGCGTGTATAGAAAAAGCACATTCACAAGGCAATACACACACTTCCTTAGTTTTATATAGAATAAAAGCAGAAAGAGAACCGAAGCACACACACACAGACACGTCTTACCTCCAAAGATTATCTCTATCTTCTGGATATCTTCTTAAATTTTGTAAAAGTCCATCAAGTAGGCTAATTAAACAAGGCGCTGAAGCTAAACGACACTGTGATAATAAATGATGCAGTCTTCGACGAATTCTACCAGATCCTTCAGCCAAGGCTGATGTAATTATAGATACTTGTTCACTTTTTACAGGTACCTATAAACGATAAGTCATTGAAGTTATAGAAACCATCTTAAAAGTATCTACATATAAACAATAAGTAATATTTAAACACAATATAGCATGAGCTGACATCAGTTAGAGAACCATTGGAAAACCAGCACGGAGTACTGGACAGCTGTTTCGTCCTAGTTTGGGACTCTTCATCAGTACGCACCCACCACCACCATTCGAACCCAGGACCTTCTGGTTACCAAGCGAGCTCGTATACCACTAAGCCACTGGGACCCGATCCAATGGACAGCCTGTGAATTCTAACTTCTGCTAATTCATGATATAGCATGTCCCCTAGTCGATGTCATCGGCGAGTATTTGTCCTCACACCCGACCTGCTGCACCCTACTGATCACGACTTCTCACTAGAACCCCAGGTAAATACCTACCTGAATAAGGCAAGTCACTAGGGAGCATCTCAATGATATTCAAGTGTTGGTCCCTACAAACCAACACTTGAATAACAATATAGTATACACGTTTAGGAATAATTTAAACCTTTATTTTAATAATAATGAAAAGCTTTGAATGAGGATAAGTATTCCTATGATAGAAAGAATCAGATATGTTTAAGTGTTGAATTCAGTTGGCGGATGGATACTAGCAGTGGAATCCAGGATAAAGCGCGTTTCTTCCTATTTTTGACTCGTCATCTGGATATACTTGCATTCCCCAGTGAGTGATGATTTTCTCACCAAGGCTTGAACCCAGTGTCCATAGTTTCATCTAGATAACGAGTCCCAAATAGGACGAAATGCGCCTTGTCCTGAATTCCACTATTGCTAGTCACCATCCACCAATTAAATTCTAATTACATGCGCAGACATCGTCGAAACCTCTGCATAAGAAGAAGCCGACATGTCAACCTGAGACCGAATACTTCGGTCCAAACAATGAATAGACGGGAAAATCTAAAATTCAATTAAATGCTTAGGTGTTGGTTTGCAGGATTTTCATTATGAGCTGAAATCGATTGGAGAACCATTGGAAAACCTGGGAGTACTGAACAGCTGTTTCATCAGCCTAGTCTCTGACTCTTCATCAGTACGCACCCACCAAGGATCGAACCCAGGACCTTCTGGTCGCAAAGTGAGCTCGTAGACCGTTAAGCCACTTGTAAGTCGTGACCAGTGAGGTACAGCCGCCAGTGATGACATCTCATCAGTCCGCTCCGTCCTCCTTTATGGTTGTGAGACCTGGTCACTGAGAGTGGAAGACATGAAAAGACTAGCTGTCTTTGATCATAGGTGCCTGCGTTCTATTTCCCGTGTAAAGTGGCATAATAAGGTGAGCAACATTGAGGTGAGGCGTAGAGTTCTAGGTAAACAGGGGAATCAATCGACGAAGTCGTGAAGCTACAAAGACTGAGATGGTTAGGACATGTGTTACGTATGCCAAGCCATCGCCTCCCTCGACGAGCAATGTTAGCTGATATAGGGTCAGGCTGGAAAAGAGCTAGCGGAGGTCAAACAAAAAAACATGGCCAAACCAGTCAATGAAATCTACAACAGTTAGTCTAAGCCAGTCATGTAGGAAGGTGTAGACTTCCTAGCTGGTTGGGGTCCTCGGGACGGTAAAAACAAATGGTTGGAAACAATTGGTGACATGGCTCAAAACCGTTCTCAGTGGCGCAGATGCATCCACTCCCTGTGACTTATGATCTCCAATGAAACTGTTTTGTATTTCTTTATTACTCCTTTGTCTCACACCTCTGCTCACTGTTTCTATTATGCTTTTCTTGTACTTTCTTCTCTTGCTTCGCGTGCTACACGGAATGTGGCGACTTGAACTGGTGCACATATGTGCAAAGTTCTATGTCGAAAACAGACAGACAGACAGAGACAGTGATGACATTGTCCGGTGCCAGTAGCGCCATATCATGAGTAAATTGGCAGAAGTTGTTATTCATGGACTGGCTATTGGATCAGATCCCAGTGGCTTAGTGACCTACAAGTTCGCCTGGTAACCGGAAGGTCCTGGATTTAAACCCCATTGGGGTGGGTGCGTACTGATGAAGAATCACAAAATAGGTTGACAAAACAGTTGTCCAGTACTCCAATGGCAGTATTCAGTGGTTCTTTAATTGATATCCATTCGCCGTTGTACATACGCCTTTTCTGACGGATGCCAATGAAACCCTAATTAGGTTCATGGGGTCTTATCAACTGCACCCAACCATCTAATGAACTCATTTTGGAAGCTGTTAAACCTTAATTGACTAAAATTACTGCAAATCAAAAGTAGTTTCATTTTGTAAAACTAACCTTATCTCCAACAGCACTGAGAGCTCGAACAGCTGCTAATCTGACATCTTGAATATCATCTGTAAGCATATCTACCAAAAGATCTTGACAATTCGATGCAAATCGAGTACTAAGTGATGCGATATGCGTAACTGTAGCCAGCGTAGTGCAACGCACCTCTATTAAAGTTAAAAAAGAAATAGTAAGCAAAGAGGATTAGTTAGTATGAACCAAATCTAACCACATTTGACAAAAACAACTTGTAAAGTCTAAACATTTTTGTAAATACTGATACAAATGTACACTGCGTTTTCTTTTTTTGCCTTTCGGCATTCATTCACCTAGCACAAATCTCAATATCATGGTATGGCGTATGCTACTGACAATATTTATCAGTAGTATACAGAGGGACGTCCATCGGAACAAAAATATCAAATAACCCAGAGATAGACTAGACGTCGAAGAAAGGAAATGAACTAGTGCATTGCTTTAAAACATGGGAGACATGAAAAGAAGACAAAGAAACACAGTACGAAGGAAGGGAAGAAGTGCAGGAAAGAACAACACGGAAGATCTGTGAGACAAATGACGACTTTCACATTAGTTGTACACACAGTTCCGCTATAAAGAGAAGTCGAATTCCAAATAATAGACATTCTGTTACCAATTATCTTGTCTTCTACTGTCACAATTAATGTCGCTACCTCCGGACAATAAAGATCCCGTGGCCTGCTAATTTAGAAGAAGGAGATGTCAGGAGTTTCTTGCGGAACTCTGATGCCATTGCTTAGTCGCTTGAGGTCAAGGATCCGACGGCGAAAGGGGTGGTGCTGAGAGGTCGGGCAAAAGTGACGTACGACAGTGTGAGGCGGTCAGGTGATAAAGAAACCTGGAATGTATTGGTTGAACGATTGATGGTGGAGTTCGACAGCTCAACGAACAGGTAGCTGGCAAATACCATTTACAAGGAAAGATATCATACGCATAATTGCAAGTTTATATTAATTATTTCCTTATTTCAAAACGTCAACTTAGTATACATGCTTCATTCATAAAAATGGTTGCATGAATAAATGGAAATATATCTAAAACCAAGACAAGTAATCACTTAAAGTGAAGGAAAGCTGCTGTGGTCTGTCTGTCTGTTTTCGACATAGAACTTTGCACAAATGTGAGGAAGTTCAAGTCGCCACACTCCCTCCTTGTAGCACACAAAGCAAGAGAAGAAAGTACAAGAAAAGCATAATAGAGACAGTAATCAGAGGTGTGAGACAAAGGAAGAGTAATAACGAAGAACAAAACAGTTTCATTGGAAATCATAAATCACAATGAGTGAATGCATCTGTGCTGTCATTGAGAACGATTTTGAGCCATGTCACCAATTGTTTCCAACCATTTGTTTTTACCGTCCCGAGGACCCCAACCAGGAAGTCTACACCTTTCTACGTGGCTTAAACTAACTGTTGTAGATTTCAATGACTGATGCCAAGTTTTTGTTTGACCTCCGCTAGCTCTTTTCCAGCCTGACCCTATTTCCGCTAACATTGCTCGTCAGTCAAGGGAGGTGATGACTAGGCATACGTAACACATGTCCTGCTGTGGTAATATAAGATGTGAACTAGGAAACAAATAGTTCGAAAAATATCTCACTGGCTTAAGCACTCCATTTTTAGCCGATGGGTCACGAGGTTCGAGTCCCGCTCCGCCCAACTTCAGTTAGGGCAACTGGTTAGTATCATCAGCGCCACAATGTGACTCTTAGTGTGGTACAAGAAAAAAACCCTGTTACAGGGTAACTGAGCTTAACTCAAACCTTAATATCCTAGTCAACATCTTCATATAAAAACAAAACTATGATCACAGGAACCTTTTACCAGAAGAAAAGTAAGTTCCACTCGAAATGAATAGTTGAAATGAAAATACTAATGAGCTGTGTGGCGGCAGGAGGGTCTAACGTTAACACAACAGATTTTAGACGAATATTCCAAGGATTAGATTCCCAAAATAAATAAATCCTAAACTTCCCTGACCAACTAAGGTGGTTAGTCTTAGTTTTGTTTTATTTCTTCACGTTCCGAATAAGACACAGGGCTTCCAGTAGTAGTGGTGTTTTTTTACAAGGTGAGATTGCCAGTCCCACGCTCAACTTTCCCTCTTTGCAAGGATTATGACCGGCTAAGAGAAGTAAAGGTGTGCGCTGGTCGGGAATCAAACCCCGGACCACGCACATGGTTGGCCAGCATTCTACTGTTGAACCACCAACACACACAAAAAACAGGGATTATGGACGGCCGTTTCGCCCTAGTTTATGACTCATCAGAAGTATGTACTCACCAGGATTCGAACCCATGACCTTCCGGTTACAAGTCAAGCTCAAAAACGGTTTGACCACTGGTGGTTACAGCAAGATCTGTTTACTTACGAGATACTGGGAAAATCCATAAAATGCTTCAAAACTGAACTATTTTGTATGAGAAAGAATTGAATAAAGATGTATGTATGACAAGAAATGACAGTCGGTTTATTATTAGTCTCCCTGCGAAGTCGGAGGTTGGAGAGCTAACGATACTACTCGGCTGCCCAGGCTGAAGCAGGTGGAGCGACCAATATGTTCAGTCTCCAGAAGTTTAGGAACTCTTCATCAGTACGCACCCAACCCACTACCAGGGTTCGAAACAAGGACCAAGACAAGTAAGCTCGTAGAACACCAAGCCACTGGCCCAAGAATTCCAACTTCTGCCAGTTTTTCACGATATAGCGCGACTGGCACCAGCTAATATCATCGCTAGTGAGTACTTGCCCTTACACTCAACCTACTGTACCCCACTGGTTGGTCACGACTTCTCACTGGAGAACCCAGGTAGTTACCTACCTACCTAAATAGAGCCAGTCGCTAGTGAACATCAGATTAATATTCAACAGTGTTGGTTTGCAGGGTCTCAAACTAGGCTGACGCAACAGCTGTCCAGTACTCCAGTGATGGTTTTCCAATGGTTCTCTAGTATATCACATAGACATGTATAATTACAAAACTATAATTACTTCACATCTATTATCACTCCATCAGAATCTTTTCACAAAGTAGATATAGATAACTCACCGAAATAATCATCTTCTAAGCCACTAATAACAGCCCCATTAGAACCAGTTGCTATCAAACTAACTGAATCTGTGCCAGAATGCCTGCCTTGTGTACGAATATCTGCCGCCGCTGCTGCTGTCTTGGATGTATTGTTGTATTGCTCCAGTAAAGAACGACGTACTTGTCTGTCCGACATAACTGTCTTTTCTAGAGTTTGTAACAAACAATCTTCTGTTACAAACTAGAAAAAACCAAATAAAGAGATTTAAGTAAAGGCTGAAGAAAGTTATCATCACCATTTAACATCAACACTATGAGAAATAAACTACTAGACAAGATCCTTAAAAATTCCTGTGATATGAATTAAGGTAAAGACCAAACAAGGTATAAAGAAATAAAAGTAGGTAAATAAACAGGTGAATAGAGGAAGGAATATCAACGCCAACAAGCAGATAGCTTATAAATATGCCTGCATTATTGTGAGTGGTTTGGATAGTATTACCTGATTTCTAGTCATCGGTTTCGTTTTTGTCTCAAACCTCTTAACCAGAAATCCTACAGTTCCTCAAGCGGGTCGAAAGTCCATTGATTTACGCTATACATGAGTCAGAACATTCTAGTGCTAGCTGGCACTCACCAGTAGGTCAGTAAGTTGTATCTCCAACCAACTTAAAGGAACTCATGTTACATCTGAGGTTCCGACCCGCGTCACCACCCGGTACTACAGTCTGATATGTTACCCCACGACTGAACTCCTGTAGGAGTGATTGTATTAGGTACTTTGATTGGACACTAGTTAGTAACTAGTATAATGTGTCTGGTCCTTTGTTTGATAGAGACTAAATTCTGTCAGCTGTGGGTGACTCGAATTCGAGTCTTAGAAGGGATATGAGTTCCTTCAAGGCAGTAGCAGACACACCTTCCTGATTGACTCGTGACTACCAAAAAGCACGAAACCTATGTCAGGTGTGGCTTCCTGATGATTGCTTCTAACCATAACATTCAGAAAAGTCACAGTACACCGTGGTGAGCCATCTAGCATGATGGCCACATTGCAAACTTGACTGATAGGATTTATTCTGCACCAAAGACAGGAGGACACAATACACTCCATTATGGATAAGATTTTATTTTGATAAACCACACAGTGTTATACAGTAATATTAACTGATCAGTTTCCCACTGAAAGTTAATCTTTCATCTCTTTGTGGCTGTTTCTTGAATGTCAGATCATCTATATGCTAACCATATTCGCCTACGCAAAGTCTGCTGTGGTTGATTGTTGAATAAGTCTTTGTTCATATTTTTCTCACGACCAATATTGAGGACGTAAACACTGACGTAAATTACTGTCTACTAATTTGGCTAGCAGCCAGCTTTCACCACAGTGTGATACAGACAATGTGTTCCGACATATTCCACATATTCCCACAGTTCAATTCGGCATTTTTTCCTTCACGTCCCCCAGTGGAACATAGGGCTCCAAGCTATTGGCTTTAAGTTTCTGTAGCAGTGTTTATTTTACAGGATGGGGTTGTTGGCCCCATGCCCAACCTTTCCTCTTTACCAGAATTATTTCTGGCTTAGCGAGGTAAAGGAGTGCGTTGGTCGGGGATCGAACCTCCGATCATGTGCATGGCCGTCGAGCGTCCTAACCGCATTAGCAACAGAATACTATGTATAGTTGGACATTCTATTTCGTGTCGTTTAGTGTAAGCCGAAATCACGCACTCAGTGACTGGTTAAGGAATATAAACTGTAAATATATAAATAGCGGTATGATCACTTGGAAATATACCTTGGCTTCCGTGTCCTGCCTTCTGCTGTTATAACATAACCTCTAGATTAACTACTTGTCGTTTATAATTTTAATATCTATTGAATGAATACGCATAATAAATTGAAAAAAATCCAATAATAACTAAGGGCATGATATATCTTTGTGCGTCGGTGGCACAGCAGTTGAATGCTCGCCAACCACGGCATACGTGGTTCGGGGTTCGATCCCCGGCCACTGGACGCACTCCCACACCTCGTTAAGCCAGTAAAGAGAGAAGGTTGGGCATGAGGCTGGCTAGCAACCCCATCCCGTAAAAATAAACAAACACCACTTCTACCGAAACTTGAAGTCTCTAGCTTGAAGCCCTATGTTTCACTGGGAACGTTAAGGTTAAGGCTATAGAAGAGTAAGATGGTGACAGAAATTCTTTTATATGCGAAGTCAAACAAAAGTTGTAAATTAAATAAATACGCTATACTGCAATCGTTTTTATACACTGTCAACTTACTTTAGCTAGATCAGACATTATTTGAGCTGCCAATTGTCTAACATATCGACTAGGATCTTGAATTCGAGAACAGACACGAGAAAAAGCATCATCCACTAAGTCAGTATGTTCTAAATCAGAATCCAAACAAGATACTGATGAGCTCATAGGGAAGAGAGGAACATCTACCAAGGCATGATGTGGCCAAGAAATGCTTAATTTTCCAAGAACATGTAAACTGGTTCGACGTACCTGGAAGTAAATATTAAACTCATTGAATAAAGAAAATAGATAACTGTTGGGAAAATGGCAAAACTAACTCAATTGGTGTTACTAAAGATTTTAAACAAAATATTTTAAAAACACTGGTCTTTTTACAATCACTCGTATAAACACAAAAAGGTCCTAAATTATCTGTTAACTTAAAACTAACGAAACGCTTAAAAAATGGTACTGATCTCAGACTAGTAGACAGCTACGAGAATATATTCACAACACATATTTACTTACCAAAGTGCCTTCAGACTATGCAAAATTTGATTCTGAACTATAAGCGATTGTCTCAAGCTCGTGAGGTGTGGTTTGAAATGTTCCAGGTGTTCGTAATGCAACTAAACGGAGTGACACAAAACAAAATTCCTCATTCTGGAAAAATATCAAATGAACTGCCCGGCTTTTGTACTTATTATTATATTATTATTTCCTTTGATTCCTAGAGGAACATGGGGCTTCAGCCGCGCGTCTTTACTGTGTTCGGTTCTCTGGTAGAGTTTTCACCTGGCTCCAAGTCTGCCCACATGCTTTCATCTCCTCTTCACATTACCTCCTCCAAGTCACCCTCGCACTGACGACCAACTCGCCGCTTACCTTTCGGGTTCCACTCGAGCAATGGCTTGTCTAGTGATGTCACTTGATGGTTTTCTCAGAGTATGACCAATCTAATCCATCTCCTGTCTATTTGTTGCCCAATCGGTTCCTGGTTGGTTCGCTCATTGCCAGAGATCCCTGTTGCTGATCTTTTCTGGCCGGTCATCTGATCTTGAGTATTGAGCGAAGACCGCTGTTAATGAAGGTGCTCTTCATGACGCGCCAAGTCTCTGATTCGTATAGTAGCACTGACTTCACATTTGAGGTGAAAATCCGGATCTTATTTTTGATGCTGAGTGCTGTTGACCTTCACTTTTGTACTTATACTCAAATAAATCGAATATGAGGAATGGAAGCCCTTGAAGTCTCCTAATTGGAACAAAACCGTGAGTCTCACATTATGAGTAAGTTCTCAGATGTTCTAGCGATCATATATATCTCTATATCGACAAGTAACATAATGAAATCCAGAAATAGGATGAGTTACTTGAGCAATTTAATTCTAAACTAGTCAACCAAGTCACCAGAAGCAGCTTACGATTTTATGACATACTTTGTACAAAAATATAAATATATGGCCGAGTATTCGCAAAACAAGTCACGAAAACCATAAAAAGTTTACTGAAACTAACAGGTGAAAATTCTGACCTAACTTACCATCTCTTCATTATCTAACAATCCCTGGCAAGCAGCCGCATACACAGATTCTAGATTTGATTCGAACCATGCTGTTAATTCTCTTTTCATACTCTCCTTGTGATTACTGGAATGTTTCAATTTCCCAGTACGACTGCTTTCCGCATGGTTAAGAGAACGTAACCACATAAGAAGACAATGAAATGCCCGATCACGCACTCTAGGATCACTATCACCAGTATGCCATAACACTACTTCACCAGCTGAACCTGCACTAAGACATAGTTGTGGGCTATTCCAAACAGCTAGAAGATCAAGACATCCAGATCGTACATGAGCAGATGAAGAGGTGAAAGCCTGTCGAAAAAAGATACACATGCATAAAACATGTCAAAACGCTTATAATAATGCGAAAAGACGAAAATTACGCAAGTGTAACTGCATATTTTATTACTTAAGACTTCCCGCTTTCCACTTTGATTACTTCCTGGGTATTTAGGCTGTCTTCAATAGTCCTTGTTTAAAAAAATGAAGGCCATTTGAAACTGTCGTTAGCCAGTCGTCCTTAACGTGTAAAATTCTTGGAGGAATAACAAAACAGAAAATATCGATATCTGCTTCTTTAGACTCAAAGGAAATAATAGGATATTGAACGAATAACAATTAATTATGAACCACAGGTGAACTGAAGAGTTACAGATTGACTTTATTTTAGTTTCTTCAAATTCATTAGCATTAACTGAATTTCCTCCGATGTTTACTAACATGAAAATAGATTGAGAGTGGGAAGTTAAATGGTTAGACTCGATAGCCAGTCGTAATGCCACAGCTACCGACAAAATATCAATATGCGTCCTAAGAGCTCATTTATTACATGGTAACCTACTTTACTTTCCGCAGTTAAAACCCTTAGCAACAGTTCAGCTGACAAATGACTTTTAAAGGTAATATATTTTCAAAACTACCTTTCTTTACAGTCAGATGTTAGCTTTCTGGAAGATCAAGTTGAAACTAAATATTCTAACATCCGACTCAGTGTCTTTACATGCCTTTCACACACCTAAATGCTGGCAGGAGAATTAGTCATCAGTCGGGGAATTTTAATGTTTGACAGAAAGTCGTAGAAACTAATCTACGATGGTAACTAATACTTCCCTAACAGAACCGGTTCCATTCTGAATAGCTCAAGAGAAAAAAGACACGAATTCATTCAGCACAAATATTTCTACGAAGATGTTGGGAATGTGGAAGTATTTTCTGAAATATTTTACATATGCAGTTCCGAAGTTCTACGGCAAAACAATTTTTGAACACAAGTGCGACGCGACACCCAAGCTGCACTTTACTTAGAAAGAAATATAAGTGTGGAAAAGTGTTGTAGTGAGTCAATCGTCAAACTCTTAAATATTCTGTAACTTTTTTCTAAACGATGCAAGCTAATGGTGAACACAATGTCATATGGTAAATATCTGTCATATCAAATCTACCTAAAACAAGCGAATAGTTGGGAAATCCGGATCTTATCCCCTCCTACGGACATCCCTAACTCCTACAAGGTCCTTATTCCTACTTTAAACCGCCACAGTCTATGTTCTCTGAGTGGTGCGTTGTCCACTCAACTCGCTGTAATGACAGTATGAATAAACAGCTGTTTGTCCTAGAAGGCGAACTTACATTGTGGAAAGCCAATATAAATATATTTCAGACCTTGATAAAAATGAGGTTTCTTTCCTACACAAATTCTGATGTTTCCAATACCTCTTGAGATGGGGAAATAATGGATATATTTTAACGTTCCATTTAACAAATACCTGCATTACTGTATTGGAACACAACGTAAAAAAATTACTGAGACATCTCAGTTGAGAAGTACCTCACTGATAACACTCAAGACCGATGACTCCTTACTGGCAGTCGATGTCAGGGCGTGCAATTTTGACAATATCTTTTCACATTCTGGAGCGACCATTACTAACCGCCCGCCAATTCTCTGACCTACATCCAATATACAATCCCATATCGAGCAAATGTAAGCCGAATTGATTTCATTGTGCTGGCTTATCAGTAGTAATGCAAAGGTTACTGATCTTTGGCAAACTTTTTCGTGGTCCCTGTACTGTAGATTTGGTGAACTCTAAGAGGAGTAGTGAATGGAATAGTAATATGTGGTTTGTGACATGCTGTGTGCCAAGATCATGTTACTACAGTGAACGCAGTCGATCTTTTCATCCTGTAGTCTTCCGGTTCTGTCAAAAAGAGGGACGATGATAAATATTATTGATAATAATGGACAAAATTAATTTAGATTATATAGACTTAAAAACAGCGTACAGAGATAGACAATGAAATATGACAGTAAGAAAATAAATCAAAATGATTTTTAAAAAAGTAATAAAGCGAGTGAATAGCTAGTAGATTGAGACACGGGAGAATGGGCAGTGGTAAAGGGCGACTTGAGACCTATGCCCTCTGTGGTGTGGTTTGCAAGCATTTGGGAGACAAACCGTTTGGACCAGCGATTCTGCTTCTACGTGATCACCCAGTCCCCTCATAAAGCATTCCAGGGACGGCGAACCGGCCACAGATGCTGATGAGCGGTACCAAGTGCGGCAAACTCAAAGGGAAGAGAAATTTGAACGCAGTCGAATCCCTGTTCTCTAACTGGTACACCTTCCTGGTTTGCTACAAGGTGGTCTGTAATGGCTTGATGGCAGAAAACAGTTGTTTAGGTAATTCTGATCATTTATAATCTTGCAGGCAGCAATTAATTTACTCCAAGCTGACGTTAGCTAAACGTAAAAAGACCTCTCCATTTTCTTGTGTTAGTACCTAGTTAATTAAGCAATCTTAGTCCCTCGACCTTCATCATGCCGAAATATATCCCGCATTTAACACGTTCAATTTGTTGTGCTGATATGTCTTTCGTTTGAGCATAACATTTTTTTTTGTCCAGTGAGTGGGACTGAAGTGAAATGCCAGTGCAGCCCTCAGTTGTCGGTGAAAGCGTCCTGTCACTCCATTACCTTGAGGATAATACACTTTAGAGGCAGGTAATTCCCCAGGATTATTGGCCACAGCATTCATTACTGAACAAGGGATGCTGACCCTCATGTTTTGGTCGATTTTTTCCCGTCAAACATCCACTCCATTTGGCACGCTATCGTGTTACGTTCGCTCGTTCGTGCACGATCCCTAGATAGTTAAGCAATCATCTCGCATTTCCGAAATGTATTTCGTAATTTGGACGATCAGTTCTTGTGTTTTGCACTGCCTTTGGTCTACTCCGAAAGAATACAATAGAAGTTGTGGCTATTAGATCTTGCGTTAGTATACTTCCTAGTATCTGTGAACGTCAACACTCTCAGCCTCTAAAATACTGTATAGCGGATTCTGTTTGACCCAAGGAACTTCTACAAGTTGTTGAAAAGCTCTGATTCGGATTGTGCTTTTTCTGTCAGTTGTTATTGTTATAGGTGCCTCGGACATGGCTACTTAGTGTTGAAGAAAAGCTGTCGATACCGTTTCCTCTATCATATCCGTAAATGGTGCGACCACCGTGAATCTGGTGAATTTACTGATGCACTTGAAAAGACAAGTAAATCTGTTTGGGTGTGGCGAGGGACCCATCAATTATGCATTAACATGGGTGAAACGAGTATTGGGCAGTGAGAATTTCCCTAAGGTTGATATTGTGTGTCTGCTTGCTTTCACCTTCAGGCATAGCATGTACTCTCTCACCCACTTCTGCACGTCAAGTTGTAGGTTTGACCAAATATATCTCCCGAGATTAATTTAGCTGATAGCCCTGCTCCAATAAATATTACTGTATAACACTGTGTGATTTTATCAAAATAATGTTTTTGCATGGTAAAGTCGCATTCCACCACAGTGCCCAAGTTTTAGCCTTATATTAATAAGCTGTGCCCCAGACATGAAAGCGAGTGAAAATCACTAAATGAGGCTTTCCGCATAATTTTCGAAACGAATGGCTTGGGAAAATCTTTTGCTCTATCGCGGTATATCAAGTCTCCATCTGTAGGAGATGGGAATTGTTTAGGTCTGGGATCAGAGTTATTCGTAGTGAGGATATGCTTTAACTCTTCGTCATTCATATGATTTTCCTGCAGTGTTCTGAAGTTTACGGTGATTTGTTGCACTATATTCACGTGCATTCCGGACAATTCATCAGCTACATGATTCTCCACCACTTTCACATGTCTCACACAACTGGTAAACTGTGATGTAACATCAAGTTGACGAATTTCATGTGGTCAATACCTGCCTGTTTTCACGTTGAGCGCATACGTGAGAAGCTTGCGGCCTGTGTAGATCGCGAATGGTCTGGACCCTACCATGTAACAAAAGCGTTTAACTGCTAGGCAGATTTCAAGAAACTCCCTGCCAAGAGCAGAGCACCTAATTTAGTAGGATCAACCCATTTAGGAAAGACTGGTATTGGTTCCCAGCTACTTTCTGTTTAGTGATTTATAGTTGCTTCGATCATAGTCTTATTTGATGCATATGCCACTTTTGCAATGGGAGAATCTGGATTAGGATGTTTCAGGTCTATGGCTTTCGACAATGCTTCTTTCACGTGTGGAATTGAGCCGATACGTCTTTTGACAACTGAAAGTCTTTTGATTTTCCCCTTAATACATCAGTCAGGGGCTTCGTGTATTTCGAGCAATGGGTATATAGCGTCGTTAGAAACCTATCAATTCCAGAAAACTCCAGATTTGTGTGATTGACGTGGGTAGATGTTATCGGTATCCGCCTTTTTGGGCATCGGTGAGATCCCAGTGTAATGACAGAAGACAAGAGCCAGGCGACGGATCATTTATTAAGGAAATCAACACATATCTATAGATTTTCATGTGCATATTATAGATTATTGTTAGCAGAAAAGCAGTCTTCTGATTGGTTTTTTCTCACAGAAAGTTAACCTTGCATCTCTTTGTGGCCGTCTCTTGAATTTCAGATCATCTATATGCTAACCGTATCCGCCTAAGGAAAGTCTGCTGTGGTTGTTTGTTCAATCAGTCTTTGTTCTTATTTTCTCACGACCAATATTTGGGACATAAACATTGACGTTAATTACTATCTACCAATTTGTCTAGCAGCCTGCTCTCACCACGCTGTTACTGTTAATGACAGGCTTATAGGAATTCAAATGCCTATGACCCATGAACACACTTTGGCTGATCGTCATGCTGTTGTCTTCCACTTGGTGTAATACCGTCTGAATGCGATCCTCAAGTGTGCTTATATCCTGGCTGCCGACTAGGTCGTCCAAGCACGCTTTGGCGAATGGTGTTTCACACGGCAATTCATCCATAAATCTTTGGAAAGTTCGTGAAGTATTCTGGAGATCAAATGGCATCCTCACAGACTCATGTAATCTAAATGGGGTTGTGATTACTGATTTAGGCATATCTTCCTCAGCCACCGGAATATTTTATAAGGCGCAAACTAAGTCAGTTTTAATAAACATCGTGCTATCTCAAAGACAACTACACTAACAAAGTCTTGGATGTGTGGTACTGAGTATCTGTCTAGGACAGTTCGCCTGTTTTGTGCTCTATAATTACTACAGAAGTGTAAATCAGTCAGTCTGATTTCTCCTGGACACCACAGCGAAGCCCAATGACCGTTTGAAGGCTGAATAATCATCAACTGAACCATTTTTATATTTGATTACAGTTTGATTCCACACTGTATTTTTGGTACAAGTATGGAATTTTCAGCGTGGGTATTGGTAGCCCAAATTTTGCGGGCCGACCATAGATATCAGATGTGTCTCGGCAGTCAAATTCAACCTCCTCTTTTGTTAGCTTGTTCGGAGCCAATCTTCTTGGATTAGCGAACACTGGGAGGTGCGTCTGTCCTGATACTGTGACTAATTTTCGAGCTAGCTTTAGAAGCTTGGGAGTCGGTTGTTATTAGTGGTGGGAATCCCACTGGTATTTTCCGCAACCTTTCAGTTGGCATTGGCGGATATTGAGCTACATCTGTCACTCTGTTGCCTCACCTCTTGCATATCGAGAAGTTTCTTTTATTGTTAAACGTCTATTTCGGATGTCCACCAACATGTCTTTTGAGGAGGTCTGTGACAAGGATCACTAGGTCTAAGTCAGAGACAATGAGAACCCATAGAAGCTATTGCTTAAACCCAAGGTGAAGGAATAGTGTTTTCGGTCCGAAAGTCACGATCTGGGCTTCATTGGCCGCATGTAGTGTGGCGGTGAACTTTTGTCATCCCGGATAGGCCTTTGCTTTTGATTCGACACCGGGTGCAGCCCCTGCATCAGCCAAGAAGTCTATACAAATTGTTCATCCTTGACGTATGACGGGTGACTGTCTGGGCATCTCTTCAGTAGTCGCTGTCTGTGAAGAGGTCAGTCGTTTCCCCGTTGCTAATGAGGTGCTCTAAGCCACCTTTGTGTACATTTTGTTAACTGTCCGGCAAACTTCCAGTGAGACGAATAGAACTGCCATGTTCACTTAGTTTGTTTAGGTGTATCCTTTGACCGGGAATGTGCCGTGTTGGGGGGATCTCATAATCCGTCCTGTATTAGTTTTATTTAGGCCTGTTGTCCCGTTGCTGATCTAATGTTGACAATGAGTTCCGGGATTATTGGGTCTTTGCTGATGCTCATATGGTTCACTTGCCCTTCCTTAAGTCCTTTTCTCTCCAACAACCAATTGGTGATAAATCAGCAGACAGAAAAAAAGTTGAAAGTGTCCAGAGATTCGTCAAGAAACGCATATTAGGCTACGATCAGTAAATAGAATACCTTGACAGATGTAATCGACTGGACTTAGAACCCTTATGGTTAAGGAGAGTGAAGTGCAGTTTATTTCTCTTATTCAAAGTTATAAGAAAGCACCGTAACGGTAACTCATCCATAACGTGGGCTAATCCTAAATCGTATGAACTAAGCAACCATGACTACCTTCTCAAGGTTAACACCCATAGACTCACCACTAGAGCTAACTTTTTCACCAC